TAAATAAAGTTTTCATGTAAAGCAAAATTTGTGCTCTAATCTCAATTCTATAGAAAAAACCATCACTAAGTGATAAAAAAAATTAATATAAAATTATATTTGGCACAATAACATTAATATTGTAAAGAGACTATGCATAAGTTTTTGTAATTATTTTCTTTAATAATGTTCTTTCTTTATTCTAATAATTCTGGGTTCAAAACTGTTTCGTATTTTCTAATTATGCAAAATTAGTTTCTATTACTCATTTTATTTCTAAGTATGTTATATTTTAATTTTCAACTTTTTTATGACAGGTTTTTAATTCAAGGAAAAATATGAATAAAATCTCATCTTCGTTTGTCAAATTGTGGGTTATCATACCCATTTAAGTTTCTGCATTTGCTAGGGAAGCAAATCAAGTAACTTCTCTAAGAATTATATTACTACAGGGACGATAATAATAATAATAATACTTACAAATTTAAAAAAGGATTTGTAAAAACAAAAAATCTTTAAATCAGAACCACACCTATGTTGCATGAAACATTATTATAATATAAGATTGCCAATGTGTTTATTAGTTATAACGCAAATGTAAAAAAATTGCTCATACAAAAACTGCTTTTCGCCCATTAATTCCTCCAAGCTGCTTAAAGCATCAATAAGGCATCGATGCCATTGTGATGCTTTTAGCGTCAATGCCACTATAAGCTGCTAGGTTATAAAAGTATTATATTAGTTTCTAAAAAAATTTTACGCCTTAAAATATGCAATTAATTCTAATAATATTTTCTCTCATATAAATATGCAACTGATAATACAAATGCAAGCGTAGGAGGAATAAGTATTTTTTTACAATAAAGAGAAAAATTTAAAATAAATATTTTATGTTATTCATTTCTTTCTATTTCAATAATATAAATTAAATAAACATATTATATCTAAGAAACAAATAGGTATTGACGTAGAGGCTGTCGACTTTTGGAATAAGAAAATATTTAAAATTAATAAATCAATATTGAGTTATAAATTTAAGATTAATATAGCATAAAGAAATTATAAAACATAAAGATTAAGAAAAATTACATTAAATTTATTTAAAAGTTATAGACAAAACAAATTTTAATCAACGATTTTCTGCCACAAATTTATAGTTGGTTTATATATTTGTCGGAGTGACTTTAATCAGGCGATGGGAAGGTGTGAAGACCTAAAAATTAAATTATTTTTAACTATAAAAAAACAATAAAGAATGTAAAGTAAAGATATGCGAACGTCACAGAAGTTTCATAATTTCTAGATTGCATTTAGACATCGACTTTCTTCAGATATTTGTAAATGGATTATATGTTCGTTAAAATAAGCTGATCCAAGCTATGGAAAGATGTGAAGACCTAAACATGACATTGTTTTTAATTATAAAAGAAATTTTTATTAAAAATCAAATATTTAAAATAGAGATATATGATCAACACAGAAGCTGCAAAATTCTTGATGGCGACCATTGAATAGATGTTTGTGGATCATACTATTTTGTAAATTTTAATAAACATGATTCATTTGAATAAATGAAAAATAAAAAAGTTTTAATGTAAATATTTCCTTAATGTATTTATCAGAATTTTTATTTTGATTTTCACTATTTGGAATATATTGGGGATGCCATAAACAAAATGTTTTAATCTCTTTAGAAATAAAAACCAAGATATTACGACCATAAAAGCTAGCATGTTCAGATTAAATTAATTAGAAAGATAATTATATATGTATCTACAAAAAAGAAAATGTAGCTTATTAGTAATAATAATAGTAAATAACAGTCACAATATGTTGAAATGATATTTTATGAGCTAAACAGATCTTAATAATAATTACTACTTCTTAATAGATATATGTTGGACTCAATACATGTTTAGTTTATTTATTATTTTCAAAATGTAGCTCAAAAGTGTATTTGTTGAATATTCACATTTTGTTTTCGTAAAAATTTATAATATTTGTTTAGATTAAAATTTAAAGTCAGCAGATTTAATATAATTTATCAAATTTTTCTTAAGAAAGGTAAATTAGTATAGATAGTATGACCGACATTATAAAAGCTGGTGGTTTTACTCGTCTGATTTAGTACTGAAATCTTTTTAAAATGGGAACCATACTACAGTTCAGTTTTGTACTTTTGCTATTTCAAGTTATAGCTGTTAGGGCTACTACGGAAAGTTAGTCTTAATTGATTAAATTCAAAAACTTTTTAAGTAATGTGGATTTTGTTTAATTTTAAGAAATTGTTTTTTGTTACTGGGGTACATGGTCCCATTACCGAAATGGAAATGGAAACTACAAAGTAAATAATATTACTTGGCTGGATACTTGGTTGGATGAAGATTTGCGTAAGCTCAAGTTTATTATATAAATGGCTATAGACAGTTATATAGACAGTGTTTTTTAGATAATCTTGCTAATACTGTGGCATTGAAACAACAAAACCCTGGCCTTAAAGTGTTAGAGGCTGTGGGTGGTTGGAATGAAGGTTCAATAAAATACTCAACAATGGCAGATGATGCGACAAAACGTTTAAATTTTATCAACTCAGCATTAGCTCTTTTACATCAGAATGATTTTGATGGATTAGATTTAGATTGGGAATATCCAGCGCAGCGCGATGGAATCTCTGCAGACCGACAAAATTTTGTAATTTTGCTGAAGGAATTAAAACAAGCGTAAGTAGGGAATTATGACTCAAAGGCATTATCTACTAAAGTCAAAAAGAAAATTTAATTAACTCTAAAGCTTTAAGCCATTTTCGCATTATGTTATAGATATGTGTTTTTATAAAAACATCATCATATACTGTCATACCCTGTCGACTGATCCTTTTTTCCTGATCATTTTTGCGACCTTTAGTTAGTTTTTTTCCGTAAATTCTTTTTTTATTTCTTGATTTAATAATGTTAAAGATATACCTACACACACCTTACGTGCGGACATACATAATTTCTCTAGTTTAACAGAAGCTTTTTGATCCAAATTACTTGGATCACAAAGATTTACTTGTAACTTGATGAGCAGTGAGTGTATCTCATGGGGTATTGATGTTCTCTGATATTCATTCGACCAAACAAGTAGTCAGTTATTATATCTCCATTTCGTCTTAAAACACACGACAATGGTTAACATTACGTTTACATATATTTAGTGCAAGATTTTCTGACAAAACTTCATACAAAATTTTATATATATATTAGATAGTCCCTGCAGCCTCATATAGATGAATATATCGGTAATAATCTATAAGATTTCAATACATTTGAAATTAATAAATTGCTAAATAATAAATTATAAAATATGAAAACAAATAAGTATATAGAACTTTATAGCTACACGTAGATCTGTAGGTTCTTAGCGATTATATATCACATAGATTTTAAATAAACTTAGAAACATAAAAACTTATTTTTAATCGGTAAGTAAAATAATGTTAATCGGTATACTGATTACTAGTGGCACAACAGTGTTTTGTTACACCTATATACTTGTTAATTATATACTTGTTAATCATAATTAGTATACCTAATTTACATCAAAGATTGTAAACAAATAAAATGTGCCAACACCAAAAAGAAAATTTAATTTAATTATAATTAATTTTTTAAGTTTCGCAGCGGAGCTTTTTACTCACTACCGCCGTTGCTGCTGGTCAAACATCCGCTAGTATCTCGTACGACATACCAAGCATGTCGCAATATATTGACTACATAAACGTTATGACATATGACTTTGTTAGTTCTTGGGATAGCAATATTGGCATACATTCACCTTTAACTGGTTCCGGTCTTAATACAGTAACAGCTTCAATTAACTACTGGTTGCAAAGTGGTAAGGTTTACCGAAATAAATATACACATATGTCTCCAGAACAACTATTTCATATACTTGTCCAGGTGCTCCACCGAACAAATTGGTGTTAGGTATACCATTCTATGGACGTACATTTACCTTAGCATATTCAAATCAAAATACGCCTGGATCACCTAGTGCAGGTCCTGGAGCTGCTGGTCCATATACATATGAATCTGGATTTTTGGGCTACAATGAAATTTGTGAAAAGATTGTAAACTGGAATAAGATATGGGACACAAGTTTTTCGTCTCCCTATGCATTTAAAGATAACCAATGGGTTAGTTATGACAATCCGGAGAGTATAACTTTGAAAATTAATTTTTTGAAATCACTTAATTTGGCTGGTGCAATGGTGTGGTCAATAGAAAGTGATGATTTTCGAGGTACTTGTGGAAGTGCATATCCACTCTTGAATGCCATTAATAATGCATTATACAGTGGTACGAGTATAACAAGCACCACACAAGGTTCTATAACAACTTCCACAACTGCAGTCGTAACTACACTACCTCCCGTAACAACTACGACGAGCACCTCGAATTCCAATGGGTGTACCAAACAAGGATACTTTGTTAATTCCAATGACTGCACAAAATATTATTATTGCACTAATGATATGATCCGTTACGATATGTCATGTCCTAGTGGTTTGTACTTCGATGAAGCCACCATAAGGTGTAATTGGCCTGAGTTAGTAAATTGCCATAATTAAAAAAAATTTAATTTTTATGTTAAATAAATAAATAATAATGTGGAATTATATACAATTGTATTAATATTTTGTTTATTTTTATTAGTTAAAAAAATAATTTTACAATACAAATATTAAGGAAATATTAAGGTTTGTCAAGAAGACTTTGAAAGTATTTTACTTTTAACTTTTTTAAGTTAGAATTTAATTTACAAAAACTGGAATAATAATTTTGTAAATATTTATAACTAAATTTAAGTTTATTTTATTTCAGCATTTAACTTGATCCGCATAATTACAACTAATCGACTCTAAATCGAAATAAAGGCCATGTGGACATTCAAATGAAAAACTATTGTCATTTGGATCGCAGTAATAAAATTTGGAACAGTCGTATTGACTGCGTACATAACCATTTTGTCCTTCACATTTGAAAATAAATGTTGAAGAACCATCAGTTCCAGAAATACCTTTGTTATCTTTATTGGCATCTGTTGTTGACAAGTTTTGAATTTTACTTGTTGCCTCAGTCATTCCTGTAGCGGTAAGACCAAACAATATTTTATTGACTTGTTTAAGCAAAGGGAATTTTTCCTCTCCACACTGTCCACGAAAATCATCTGATTCAATTGACCATATCATAATGCCAGCTAAATTCTTTTCCATAACATAATCTGCTTTCAGTTTAATGCTATTTAAGTTTTCATAACCAACCCATTGTCTGCCTTGATAAGCATATGGCACCATTTGTTCGGATTCCCATTCTTCATGCCATCTTTCACTTTGCATTTTTTCACATAATTCATTATAGCCTATTACGCCTGGTTCTACGGAGTATTGTCCAGCTATACCACGCCCAAGATGAGGAGAACCAGGTGTATGTTTTTCAGCATTCTCTAAAGTAAATGAACGTCCATAAAATGGTATTCCCAAAACAAGTTTATCGCTCGGTGCACCTAAAATGTATATAGGTTTTATTATTCATTTTATGTTAATTAGAAAATATGTTGATAACATATAAATAATAGTATTTAATACTTAAATAAATTATTCCTGTTTATACTTTACCTTTGCTTAGCCAATATTTAATTATTGCATCGACATTCAACTGCTTCTCCCGTTTAGTTTTATCACTATTACCACCATAAAGTGGAGCGTTAATTCCTATAACATCATCCCAAGGACCATGCAAATCGTAAGCCATAACGCTGATAATATCCAAATATTTCGATACCTCTGGTATATTGTATGAAAGGGATGCAGAAAATTCCGCTGAGCCTACTGCTGCTGTCAGTAAGTAATTGAACGGATCCAAACTGCAACATTCAAAAAATTAGTATAAAAGATATAGTATTTTATTGAGTATCGTTTAATACACATAATTTATCATCAAACTAACCATATGCTAAAGACAATTATATGAATTATAGCATATAAGATAAAGAGAATATGAAGTATTTTATTACGGGATTTACTTCACGATATTTGTATTTATATTATCTATGGAAGTATTTCGAACTTAGTTTAAAAATATAATAAATGTGATAAAAAAGCTGTTAAGCTTTTAAATATAGAGTTGTTAAAGATTTATCACGTACATCTTGCTCAAAAGTCAAAAATAATCTTAAGATTATCAACATTCTGATAGAAACAATAACAACAACATCCAATTTAAATAGAATAAAATAGAAATAGAAAAGACTTAATAACTTAAAAAAATATGTTTTGAAATTAAATTGAGTATAATATCATGTTAATAATGTTTTCCATTTAAATAGCTTTTTGTAGTTAAAATATTTGTAAATTGGGTATATTGTATAATGACATTTAAAGTTATATGACATTAATATATACAATTTATATTCTATTGCATGCAGCATTAAATTCACATATCTATGCAAATAAATTGTGTACTGAAAAATAGAAATAATTAATTTTTATAATAGTCATTCAGTGTTAAGCATATCAAAAGTGATATTATAATTTATTTTACTTATTTTCAGAAATAAATAACTGAGTATATAGCATTGTTCACTTCAAGAAATATAATGTTCCAAAATTTATTTAATATATATTGGTTTTCGTTAGAAATTGTAGAAAATTTTTTCAAAATTAAATAAATTTTTAAACAATCGCAATAAATACTAATTTTATTGCTTGCACGGCCACTGTATTATGGTGAATGCATTTTTAAAATAGAGCATTGCCTAAGAAATTTTCATTCTTATTAATTCGTAAAACGAATTTTATAGTCAGTACCGAATAAATAGTTGATGCGTGAGGGTGCGCACGCATGTCAACGAGCATGGTTCGATTTCTGTCTACAAAATTTCATTTTATGATTTCGTAAAACGAATTTTGTAGTCAGTACCGAATAGGTCGTTGATGCGCAGGGGTGTGTGCGCTTATCGTTAATTTTTAATAAACATTTTGTGTTAATTAATTAAATATTATAATTTTTTTTTATTTTATGTATTATTAGTTTTGGGGAAATTTTCTTAATACTTATTCAAAAAGTTGTATTGCAAATTTCATCATACTTTTTTGATGTTTTCAAAAATTTTAGTTTTTATAAACATTTCAACATTCTTTTACTGCAAATAAATTCAAACAACATGAAATTAAATATTATAGTATTCTTTTTTAGAGACACATCTAACACACACATTCGTTATCTTTTATGTATTTAAAAAATATACACTTAACTCATTTATTTATATATAAATTTAATTTTTATTATAAAATACACTTGATACAATTTATACAATTCTCAAACGGTTATAGTTAGACAAATAAGTAAATATGGAATAAACATGTTTATAATAAACTTAATATTAAAAATGTAGCATCTTAAAATACTTAAATACAGTAGTTGTAAAACATATAAAAAAACAATAGTGATGGTATTTTTTATTATTATTTTCACAGTACTGAATATTAATAGGCCAATACGAAAACTTGCCAAAGAAATATTTCATATTTCAAATATTTCATATTTCAAATATTTCACAGATTATAGTATAACAAATAATAACAATTGCATTCCTTCATCATCGGTTGCTGGAAATTTGTGTAACGTCTTGTAAGTGGCACAGCCTCTAACATAATGTCTCACCATCTACAAAACATTAATTTATTAATTATATGCACTAGTATTTTTAAAACATAATTATTATTATTTACTTACTTTATTATTTCAAAAAAATTTATAATTAAATCACTTTGATCATTTTTTGCTTTTTATACTTTTTTTAATATTGGGCGCAAATTAGTTTTACTATTTTTTAACAATCAATTGCCCGGTAATTTTTTTTTAAATATAGCGCAGTGCATTCAAATTTTTTGTAAAGAAATCAAAACAGAGAACCAAAATTATGCTCCCTGTTGCACTCATTGCCCATAAAATTTTTCTTAAGAGTAACTTAAGGTTCTTATTCGGAGCAAGTTAAGGTCCGTATTTGGAGCGAATACGGACCTAAACACGGTTGCCACTTGAAAATTTTTTTCTGTACCAAAATTGGTTTAAAAAGGTACCATTTCTGTTTTCTCGTTCTGTGTTTTTCATAGTGTTATAAATGAACAAAATATAAAATAGTGCAAAGTTGCATTTATAAAAAA